CCAGGGCCTGAGTGGGGGCCCGTGGGTGTCCGATGTGCCTGAGGGGTTGGAGCGAGCGGTGGGGTGGCACCACTCGGCTAGTGGTGGGATGGGGTGACTGGTAGGCACACGGGACTCTGGGGGTGCAGCGTCTCGTCTGAGTTCAGAGGCTCCATGTCCCAGACCCTGGACCGGTGCCCGAGGCTTGGAGACCTGCAGGGATGCTCCCAGGGGACCACCTGCATGGACCAGCCCCGGCTGCAACCCTTCCCGTGGGGCCAGCGCAGCAGCCTGGCAGGCTCTGGGGACAGGCCTGTGTGGGGCTGCAGCGTGGCTCTGCCTGTTTAGGGGTCTGACTTGAGCTTGACTGAGGGTCGTGGGGACCACAGAGGGGCCGTGAGCAGGACTAAATGCCAGGGGATGGGTTCTGGAGCCAGCAGAGGTGGCTTGGCCCGGGTGTGGGGCATTGGGGTGCCGAGGGCAGGGGCCTCCCAGCCAGCCTCCCTTAGGGAACAGGGTGAGTCTTGCTCCTAGACGTGCCCCACCTGAGTTCCTGGCACTCCAGCAACTTGAGTGTGTGAGTGTGGATGGGAGGGTCCCCAGGTGACAGGACGGGGTGGGGCAGCTTGGGGAAGTTCTGTCTGGGGCTGAGGTCTGCTCTCCATGGGTCTGAGCAAGGTGAGCCAACCCCAGGCGTCCAGTCTCCAACTTGGGGATGCCCAGCACGGAGGCCCAGGCACAGGGGTGTCCTGGGGGAGGGAGGGAGAGGAGCGGGCGCCGTGGGCCTTCCTCTCTCAAGTGCATGCCGCCAGCTGTCTCGGTGTGTAATGGGGTCGTGCTCGATGGCCAGGCTGCATCTAGATAATCAGGATTATACACCACCCTGATCCTGCAGCTGTCTGCCTGGATGGCTGGGGCCCCGCACCCTGCAGACGCCAAGGCACAGGGCTTGGTGCCAGCAAGGAGTCACCGGGGTGCCCTGGGCCCCTGGCCAGTGGTGGGAGCAGTGGCCCCCTGAGCCGGTTTGTGTCCACAGATTTATGCTGTGAGCTCAGGCATGTCCTGCCTTACTTAATACTTTATACCAACTCCCATTTTAAATTACAGTATGTTTAAAAACACTCAATACTTCGCCCCTAGTGGAAGGCTAGGGTCACTTACAATAGCCGGTGACTATGACCTCAAAGTGCAGGGGAACCAGCAGGAAAATGTCCCTCGGCTCCACTGGGGGACTGGCCAGGGCTCGTGGGCGGGGCAGCTCCGCTGTCTGGAAGGGAGATGACCAGGTCGGTGGGAGGTGGAGGGTCCGGGCAGGGGCTGGACTCACCCTGAGCAAGGGGCCCGGACAGCATGAGGCAGGAGCTGGCAGCTGTGGGAAGGAAGTGGCCAGGCCTCATGGGGAGGGTCTGGGGGGACGATGGGGTGCAGACAGGGGAGCCTGAAGTTGGAAATGGCCTCCACGAAGGTAATGCTCAGCACTGGGACTCGCCCAGGCAGAAGGCGGAGAGGGGACAGCCCCGCGGCCTGCACCGAGGCCTGGGACCTGGGGAGCTGGAGCCGCAGCCCCTCCTAGAGGCCAGCCTCCAGGGCCAAACCTGCTGTCAGACCAGGGGCAGGAAAGGAAAGCAGCACAGAAGCAGAAGTGCGGTGGCCCAGAGGGGCCTTTTCAGGACGGGAGCCTACGCATGCTGGCAGGTCGGCGCACATGCACGCGGACAGGCACACACTCCTACCTGACACGCACATGGTGCACCCACCCCTCAGGTCTCGGACGCATGGGCTCACACGCAGCAGGCGGCATCTTCTGCCACAGGCTCAGTCCCCCTCCAGGTGGGTTCCCGGGACAGGGAGCTCCCAGACAGCCCCAGGGGCAGCCGGCCTGGACCACGGGCACCTGCTTCTGAACGCCAAGTGCACGGGGAACTGAGCCCCTGGCAGCCTCAGAAGCCCATGCCACATGGCAGCCCTGCAGAGCCATGGTCCCACGCTCTGCCTGGAATGGAGGGCTTCACGCACAGACACGCGGCTGGGCAGCCTCGACCCCTGGGGCCCAGGAAGAGGCTGTGGGGTCCTGAGTTCTTTCACGCCATGGGGTCATTGCTTTCAGCGATCACCGCTGTGTCTGCATGCCTGTGCGTGTGGGCATGCCTGTGTCTGCACAGAAGTGGTGCAGCACCTACCCAGGGACAGTGAGTACGGAACAAGATCGAGGGGACACAGGCACCTGCAACTACGTGAGATTTTATTTCTTTAAGAAGCATCTGGAGCGAATAGGACAATGTTCAGATTTGCGTCCACCCGGAGTGGCTGGATTATCCTCTCTGCTTTTTCCATGTGTTGAAAATATTTTGCACAAAACTAAATGTACTTAGAGACGAAGGGCCTCGGGCAACCACCCTGGGGCCAGGCCTGCTGAGGCCGAGGCCAAGTAGGTGGGAGCCTGGAGGATGGTGGAGAGCGCGGGATGGACAAGTGGTGTGCTGGCTGGCACCTGGGCCCAATACTGCAAGCAGGTAGAAACCAGAGGAGGCACAGGCCAGCACCTGGTTGGCTGCCTTCCCGGGGAGGAGGGAGGCTCATGCGCTCTGCTCTCTGAGCTTCCTGGCCTTTGGGCAGAGGCCTCCCGGAACCCCCAGTCTTCTCCCTGCTGTGCTTGCCAGCCCTTCCTAGTCCCCTGGAGCCGTGGTCGGCAAACCATGGCTCGCGGGCCACATGCGCTCTTTGGCCCCTTGAATGTGGCTCTTCCACAAAATACCACGTGCGGGCACGCATGTACAGTGCTATTGAAACTTCCTGGCCCATGCGCAGAAGTCGGTTTTCAGCCTGGGCGAGTCTATTTTGAAGAAGTGGCATTAGAAGTGGGGGGTGTTGGTCGGGTGACAGGATACGCGGCGCGGGGGAGGTACACAGCCTGGCGCCCATCCTTGTTTTGATGTACGTTCGCTGAGGTCGACCCCTTCCAACTCTCCCGTCCACGCTCGTCTATCTGAAACGAGTACACAAGGCGAGTGTGGATGGGAGAGTTGGGAGGGGTCGACTCCAGCGAACGTACCGCAATCAGATTGAGGACGTTTTTTGCAAAGGCCAGCTCAGGAGGACCCTCATTAAGTTAGTAACAATGTACCTACCTATATAGTTTAAGCTTAAAAAATTTGGCTCTCAAAAGAAATTTCAGTCATTGTCCTGTTGATATTTGGCTCTGTTGATTGATGAGTTTGCCGACCACTGCCCTGGGATTTGGGAAGGACCTTGTGGGCGGAGCAGGAGGCAGATCCGGGCTGCAGAGGGCCCAGGGCTGTGGTGGTTGTGGTGGGTCCCATGCCCCGTCAGCGTTTCCCAGACATTTTGTGCTGGGGGTGGAATTCTGTTACTCAGAAACGTTTTATTGATGGCAGACGAGGTAGAAACTTGTTGGACTTGTGGGAGCCATGCTGGCCTTGGAGAGAACGGTCTGGGCTGGACAGTTTGGGCACAGGGCTTCCGTCCCCTGGAGGGGAGAGGAGAGGTGGGGCGGGCGGTGGCCGTGGGTCACTGGGCCTCTCCCTGCAGCGCGGAAGCAGGAGATCATCAAGATCACGGAGCAGCTCATCGAGGCTGTCAACAGCGGGGACTTCGAGGCCTACGCGTGAGTCGGGGCCTGTGTGGCTCCTGGGGGATGGGTGGGCTGAGTGTCCCCCGGAGAGAGGGCTGGACGCCCTGGGAGGGTGCAGAGGGGGCCCTCCTCACCTGGGTCTGCCCCCCAGGAAAATCTGCGACCCAGGCCTGACCTCGTTTGAGCCTGAAGCTTTGGGCAACCTGGTCGAAGGGATGGACTTCCACAGGTTCTA